TCGGGACGTCGGGAGATATCGACTCGGCTCGGGCCGGCCGAAGTCGATGTCGAAGTGGATCGATGGGATCGAGATGGGCCCTGCCCTCCGATGTCCTCACGGCGAGGTGCAGCGGCAGCGAGGCGCTAGGGTCCGCGCGCTGGTCCAGCAGGCGCTGCACCTCTCCGGGCGCGGTGGCTTGATAGACCAGGACATCGGCACACTCACGACAGAAACGGCAACCGAGGGTCGAAGAATGCACCATTCCCCACAGCGGGTTCCTGAAACCTTGAACCAAACATGCTGACATCTCTTGGGGGGTAATTTTTACTTCCGCCGGTTTTCGCCAGTGGAGACGCTCTCGTTTCATGTTCACGGGTTTCCGCTGGTTTTCCGCAGAGGAATAGACATCAACTTGTTCTGTCTCCCCGCTGAGAACGGCGGCAGCACCAAGAGAAAGGAGAACTCTGCTGCCCCTCGTGAGGGATATCCCGGGCCACACTCAAGCCGACACAGCTCTTGCACCCGCGAAGGCCGACAGGTCACTTTACTGCAAGTGCCTGGACAGTAGACTGGGCCCGTGCGAAGGGCCAGAATACGACGAGGCGCTTTACTGCAATGACTTAGTCGGCATGTGCACACATCTCGCGCTACAAAACGCCGCTGTTTCAGAAGCCAGGGAAAGAGGGAGGAGGAGGAGGAGGAGGAGGAGGAGGCGGAGGAGGAGGAGGAGGAGGAGGAGGAGGAGGAGGAAGGCGGAGGAGGAGGGCGGAGGAGGAGGGCGGAGGAGGAGCGGGGGAGGGCATGAGAGGAGATCATGAGACGCAGGAAAAGACGCCACCTTCTATATCCCTCGATGGCGAGGCCCTTCATAGAACGCCGCCCCCATGTTCTCCCAGTGGATCTCGCAACCCCCGAGATTCGACTTTGCGACAAAAACAAAACCGCGAACAGTCACTAATGTTTGTGCTGTCTTTTCCGAGCCGAATCGATCTGACATCGCCCCAGGGCCCGAAGCCGGCCGAAAACGCAGGGTGAATAGAAACTGCACCGCCCAGATCTCAGGGTCTCAGGGCACGTCCTGCATGCATCGTTGGGCCGATCTTCACCATCGCTCTTCGTCCTCCTCCCCCCTCCCTTTCCTCCGCCTGCCCCTGGCACGTGTTCGACGTGTCCGACACATGCGGTTGGCATGTTCTCCCGTCGACCACACGCCTTTGGCGTGTCTGCCTGCGTGCTGCCGGCCGAGGCGCCGTGCCCTCGGCTGGCGCGTCTGGCTTCTGCCTGGAAGTTTCCCGTGGCACGTGAGGCTTCGAGCTCTGCGCAGGCAGGCCGCCCGGGGAGTCGCAGCTGGCCTCCACAGGCCCCCCGAGTAATGCGGGGTGACGATTAATATGAATATATTAATATATATATATATATATTAATATATATATATATATATATATATATACATATATATAGCGCCGCCGCGTGAACACGACCCCCAGTCATTTATTCATCGTCACCCTCCAGTAGTCCGTGCTGGCCTCAAGAGGCCCCCCGAGCAGTCTGGGGCGGCCTCGGCACCTCGTCCATGGGGCGCCGCCAGGGTGCTGAGACCGCCCCAGGGAGACCCCCTTGCGGCCCCGCCCCCCGGCGGGCCCAGGAACTCGAGGGCGCCTGCCCCATCGAGCTCCTGGGCCCGCTGGTGGGGCCCTCCTGGCATGGCACCCTCGAGGGATGCTGCTCCTCCGCGCCCGCTCCCACGTCCCCTCGCGCTCTGTCTCGGCATCGCTGGGGCCTCCCTGAGACCACTCGGGGAGCCTTTTTGCGGCCAGCATGGACTGCTCGGGGAGGGGGACCTGCGCAGGCCGGCCGGGACTACCTGGCTGGGCCGCTTGTGCGGAGCCCCGAAGCTGAAGGGGCCCCAGGACACACAAATAAATACACACAGATAAAAGGATTCCCCATATTTTCCCATGTTTTCTTTGGTTTCTGTCTTCCCCCCCACTTCCCATATTTTCCTATATTTTCCTGGGAGTCGACGATTCATTGTGTCTGTGTGTTTCTTTCCCTCCCGATGCTCGTGCGGAGCCCCGAGAAGCCTTGCCACCTTCCGGGGCCCTCGTGGGCGCCTCGGCCGCGTCCCCGGCGCCGGACGCCTCCAGCGGCGCCGCGGCGTTGGGGTCGGCGCGCAGGTCGAGCAGGTGGCGCGCCAGGTGGTCGTCGTTGGCGACGACCGCCCGCAGCAGACCTCTCCGCGGGCGCGGGCGAGCCAAGGTCTCTTCGACGGTACGACTGCTCCCTTAGGAAGGCACCAACTATACACCAACACCGATCCTGGCCAGGATCACCCTGGGCCCAGGATCGGTGTATACGCCCTCCTGCCCTGCGCAAGAAGGCATATACACCGATCCCTGAGCCCCCCGGCATAGCAATTTTTGTCTAGTCGAGCGTTTCCGCCCGGCTCCGGGCCCTGGGGGCCATCACAGGTCGATGCGGCCCGAAAGGTGCCGCAGGAGGACGGGGTCCGGGGTGCTCGTCGTGCAAGTTTCGCAAGGCGGCTTCGCTAACGACGGATCTCAGAGAAGCCCAGATCTCTGACGATAAGGTTGTTTCAGTCTGGAGGCTTTTTCTTCATGTCATCCTCTGGGAGCCTCTTCCGGGCCGTGGAACGATCGAAAAGCGATCTGGGGTGCAAAGCTGCCCTCTGAGAAAGGTGACGAGGTATCTTTGGCCGCGGAGCCGTCATGAACAAGCACAACGGAAATGTGTGCTACTATTCTGGCCGGACTTCCGCACAATAGCTGGAAATCTTTGCAAAAACATTGTTTGGGGCATCAAAAGAAGCTTGACAAATAGGGCGGGAATCTCCGCCCTACTTGCGACATCGCCCAGAGATAATTACGGCGGATCTGGAATCAGGGCGGGGCCCTTTACCGCGCCCCTGGATCGTCAAAGAACCACTCGGGATGAAAAGCTCGGCGCAGCTCTGGGGACGAGGGCGCCGGCCACGCGACATGCTGATCGCCCAAAAACATGAACTCATAAATTGAACCATGTTTGTCAGCATGGACCACAAACAGCATGTTACCACACTCCACATGTGATGCACAAGCGTCTCTGCGGTCGTCTTCGGAGATCAAGTACGGTCAGGAATGCTTGCTTAGCGTGTCGCCGCAACCGCCCCAGCGACACGCCGTGCCGGCCCCAGCGACCGCGCTTGTGCGGCGGCCCCAGCGACAAGTTATGTCTTGCAAGCGGATAGCGTGTCGCTCCGCGCCGCGGGGCTGAGGGCTGGAAAAGGCTCGGGACGTTGACGCGTGGGGATTGGGTTGTGGTTAGCGTGTCGCGCCGACGCGCGGTGGGCCACAGCCTTCGGCGCGACACGCTAAGCCAAAGTTCCTGACCGTGTGCATCCTCGGGACACCCCGGCAAGGGGCAACGGGCCGAGGGGTGGAACAGCCTTCTCGGAAGGCAGGGGGCTTGTTACGTGGAAGATTCGGGGGCTTCTGCGAAGGCCGCTCTGGGAGGCGGGAGGGCCTCCAAAGAAGCCGATGGAAATTCTGGGGGGGAGGGGTCTGAGGAGCCACTGGACTCGGCCAGGAAGAACTAGGCCAAGCTGCACTCGGCCAGGGGGCTTGTTACGTGGAAGGTTCGGGGGCTTCTGAGAAGGCCTCTTTGGGAGGCGGGAGGGCCTCCAAAGAAGCCGATGGAAATCCTGAGGGGGAGGGGTCTGGGGAGCCACTGGACTCGGCCAGGAAGAACCAGGCCAGGCTGCCCTCGGCCAGGCTGCACTCGGCCAGGTTGAACTCGGCCAGGCCGACCTCGCCGAAGTCCCCAGACCCCTCCTGGGGGCCATGCCTGAGGCAGTCACTCGAGCCTGCGCCCAGACGTGGCCACGAGGGCGCTCACCCTGGAGGCCCAAAGTGGCCCCCAAGAACCCCCCCCCCCAAAACATCTCTGTTCGATCCCCAGCCCGCCCACCCCTCCCCTTCGCGCCCAAGGGCCCCCCAAAACGGGAGCTCCCTGATGAACCCAGACGCTGGCGCACCCACGAAAACCACAGCCGTGGGTCAAAGCATGCTCCATTCTCCCTCTCCTCGCTCTGGATCTTGCGAAGCCCTGGTCTGCACTGTCCTGGTTCCCTGGGCCATGCGCAGCGCCTGCACCCCCAGACATCCGACGACGTGATCTTTTCAGTCTGCGGCGCTCTAGACCCCCTCCCTGGGGAGCGCCGAGAACAGCCCCCAGAGGCCGTCACCAAGCCTGAATGCCAGGACCGAAGAACGCCCTGCAGCGCCAACCTTCTTCGTCGGGCCGCCAGACCCCTCGGCTGGGAGCCCCACGACGGTGCAGCCACGCACCGCGCGCGGCGACCTCGGAAGCCCCGGCGCCCTCACCGCACGCTCCGTCACTGCGCCGCGCTGTGACCTTGGAGCCCCAGGTCGCCCGAGACATCCTCGTCGGACAGCGACCCAGGCCCCAAAACCGTGCGGCCAACCCCGGATCCCCACTGACTCACCACACTGGCCCTCCTCCGAATGCTTGGACACCGGGCCATCCCCTGGGCCTCTGGCGGCCGTTCGGGACGATGCGGGCAACCCCGGAACGCTCTCGACGAGGCGCAGCTGCTGGAGAGCATCCCGAGGCGAGAAAACCCGTGAGAACCCACGAAAACGTCCGAAAGCTGCACAGACATGAACTCACCACTCGGTGTGGTCAGTACACTGTTTGGGGGCCGCCAGCCTTCGGGCCATACACTCGGCTCCCCGGCGGCTATTGGGAACGAGTCTGGCACGCCCGGAACGCACTCGGCGAGGCGCCTCAGCTGATGGAGGCCATGGCGCGTTCTGGAACCTTGCAAGAACCTCCGAAAACATCCGAAACAGTCCCCAGGCAGTGCTTGCACTTGGGGGGTCCTACACGTCGGTCGGAAGAAGTAGGTAGAAACATGAAGTAGGAAAGCGGATATAGCAGATTGGGTCCAGGTCCCCCCAGAGAGTGACAAAACACAGCAGAAGCATGTCGATCCTTGAAGCAGGAAGGCGCTCGAAGCAGACTGGGATCTGGGAGTCCAGAAATACCCACCTTCAACGACCGGCGTGCACTTCTGTTCTAAGGAGCTGGGCCGCGTCTGCGGTCTGGAGGGTATGTGGCCGCCGTCGCCGCCCCGTGGCCGCCCCGTCGCCGCCCCGTCGTCCAGGCCGCGCCTGCGGTTTCGTGGCTGCGGGGCTGCCGTCGGGGCCCCGTCGCCGCCCGGTCGCCACCGGTGGATTGCACCACGCGTAGTTTTGCACGAGCAGACGCTGCGCCTGCGGGGCGCTCTTTGCAACTCGCCGCATCGACTCGCCTTTCTGAACGATGTTCGGGTCTACCCCCCCTCCGGATTTTAACCGCCCACCTTCTCGCATGGCACTTTGCATCTGACTCTGCCCCATCGTCCATCTTGAATCCGCCGACCCTGTCGCCGTGTGACAGGGGCTGTTTCGTCGCCATCGCCGTCGCCGTGCATTGCACGGCGACGGCGACGCATTGCACCATGCAGATTCTCCTTTCCAGCGAAAAATTGGGATCTACCCCCCCCTCCCTGCCCCATCGCCCATCCGAAATACGAATTCGTACCAACCCAGGAAGGCCGGTACCATTTTCCCCCCTCCATCCTCTGCTGAAGATAATACGCGCGTGCACTCGTCTAGCAAGAAGCGTCAGTTGTCTGAAATTCCCTTGCAAGAGGTGAAACGAATCGCGCGCGATTGCCAAAATCCATGTTACACCGAAGACTTCGTTATGATTATACAAACGAGCGTCGCGAACACATCTAGAACCGCACATTCTCGTAACGACGGTTTTCAAACAAAAAGCCGGCGTTTGTGTTCTTGCAGATTCTTCCGAAAAAGCGGTTTAACATGTTCATGACATGATTTCAAACGGGCCTGTCGCGCGCGCGCGGCGAGATCAACCGAACGCCCCTGCGCGAGCGCTGTTGCAATAATCCCTTCTTGTCGCTAAAGGGGCGAAGTGCACGCGCGCGCGTCGTCGCGGGCCCATGCGGAAATCCGTCAACAATCCTAGGTGCCGCATGGATTTCAAAAACGAATGCCCTACAAACGTGTATAACGTTGGTTTTGCAGCATCAGCTTTCAAATAAAACAGCCTGCGCGCGCGCTCTTACGAAGTCTTCAGAACCCCAGAGGTGTTCCAACATGTTCTTAACCTTCGGCCAAACTGGCCTGTCGCTCCGCATGTCGAAATCATTCGACGCACTTGAGCGCGTGCTTGTGGGGCACGATCCGTGTCAAATACCACCATGCGGGCCACTCGCGCGCGTCGGCCGCGCGCGCATGTCGAACTCCTTCCAGATTCTTCATCACCAACGCTAGGACATCGTCATCGTTATCGGGGGGCGTGATCAACATCGGCGCCGCCATTGGCCTTGCCGTCGTTATCGCCACCATCGTCACCATCATCGCTACTCTCATCATCGTATCTACCGTTGTCGACATCGCCAGGATACCGCGCCCGCCCGCGTCGCCGACTCGCACTGAAGCGCCCGCTGGAAGTGCCCAGATGTCAGCGCCACCGCGGCCGCGTCGGTCGCGCCAAACTAACTGGCCGTTGCGCGCGCGAGAATGCGCGGGCCAGCGCAGCCGCAGAGATGCACCAGCCAACGCCAAGCACTCATCGCAATCGCCGTCGCACTGGTTTTGCAAACCAAGTTGCGGGTGGGTGTGTGGGATGTTTGCGCAAGCAGTGAAAATCACAACTCACTGCGTGCGTTGGCGACTTGCACAACATAGACTGCACCACAGAGATTTCACAACAGACATTGCACAACCGAATAGATTGCACAAACGTACTATTGCACAACACAAGTTGCACCACACAGATTGCACCGCATAGGTTGCACAACCTGGGATGAACCATGCAGATTGCCCCACATAAATACGTAGATTGCGGCATATACATTGCACTGTTTGTGTTCCGCGCCTGCAAAGCGATTTCGCTCACAACACTGATTGCATGACGTGGATTGCACACAATGGATTGCACCACGTCGCCCAGCATGCACTGCGCAACATGGGCTGCACCACGTAGATTGCACGATGTATACAGCGCAACACAACTACGATCACATGCATTGCCCAACGGTTGCACACCATATACCGCTAGAAACCCAGACCCCCGACGTCATAATTTTTTCATGACGTCGACCCCCCGAGGTCTCGACCCATTCCCCGGGACCGGTTTTTCGTCCTGAGTCGTTTTTTGACGGTCCCGAGGGCCGGTAAGGGCCCCCAAAGGCCAAAAATAATTGAAAAACCTCCCGTCGTCATTTTTTCCTAACTCGAGGGGGTCTGGAAACCGTCTGTGCTCCAGCCCGGGACCCTGCCGCAGCTCCCCGGGCAGCGCCGCGGGCGCCGAGCACAGCGAGGCGGCGGAGCCCCGCCTCGGCTCGCTCCGGGCCTCGCCCCGCGCCGGGAGCCCGCCCGCGGGCGGCACGTCCTCCGCCGCGGCCGCGGCGGGCCTCCGGCCCTCCTCAAGAGCGGCGGCGAGGGGCGTCGGCGTCGGCGTCGCCGCCGGTCGCCGCCGCCATCGTCGTCGTCGCCTTCGCCGCCGTCCTCGTCGTCGTCGTCGCCGTCGTCGTCTTCGTCGTCGACCTCGCCGCCGCCGCCGCCGCCGCTGTCGTCGTTGTCGGGGTTGTCGTCGCCGTCCTCGTCGTCATCGCCGCCGCCGTCGTCGTCGGCAGTCGTCGGCGCCGTCGTCGTCGTCGTCGTCGTCGTCGTCGTCGTCGTCGTCGTCGTCGCGGCCGCCGCCGCCACCGTCGTGGCCGTCGTCGTCGTCGACGTCGACGGCGTCGTCTTCGTCTTCGTCAACGTCGTCGTCGTCGCCGCCGCTGCCGCCGCCGTCGTCGTCGTCGTCGTCGCCGCCGCCGCCGACGTCGTCGTCGGCGTCGTCGTCGTCGGCGTCGTCCTCGTCGTCGTCGTCGTAGTCGCCGTCGTCGTCGTCGTCGTCGTCTTCGTCGACCTCGCCGTCATCGTCTTCGTTGTCAACGCTACCGCCGCCGTCGCCGACGACGTCGTCGTACCCGTCGTCGTCACAATGCCGCCGCCGCGGTCGTCGGCGTCGGCATCGTCGTCGTCGTCGCCTCCGCCGCGGCCACTGCCGCCGCCGTCGCCGACGACGTCGTCGTCGGCGCCGTCGTCGTCGTCGTCGTCACCGTCATCGTCTTCGTCGTCAACGCCACCGCTTCCACCGCCGCCACCGCCGCCACCGTCGTCGTCGTCGTCGTTGTCGTCGTCGTCGCCACCGCAGTCGGCGGCGTCGTCAGCGCCGTCGTCGTCGTCGTCGTCGTCGTCGTCGTCGTCGTCGTCGCCGTCGCCGTCACCGTCTCCGTCACCGTCGCCGTCGCAGTCGCTGTCGTCGTGGCCGTCGCCGTCGCCGTCGCCGTCGCCGTCGCCGTCGTCGTCATCGTCGTCGTCGTCGCCACCGCCGCCACCGTCGTCGTCGTCGTCGTCGTCGTCGTCGTCGAAGTCGTCGTTATCGTCGTCTTCGTCGTCGTCGTCAGCGTCGTCGTCGGCATCGTTGTTGCTTTCGTCACCGCTGCCGCCGTCAACGTCTCCGTCGTCGTCGCCGTCGCCGCCGTCGTCGTCGTCGTCGTCGTCGTCGTGGCCGCGGCCGCCGCCTCCGCCGTCGTGGTCGTCGTCGTCGTCGTCGGCGGCGGCTCCGGCGGAGGCGGCGGCGGGATCGTCGTCGTCTTCGTCAACGTCGTTGTCGTCGGCGCTGCAGTCGCCGTCATCGTCGTCGCAAAGGCCGCCGCCGTCGTCGTCGGCGTCGTCGTCGTCGTCGCCGCGGCCGCCGCCGCCGAGGTCTTCGTCGTCGTCGTCACCGCCGTCCTGGTCGTCGTCGCCGTCGTCGTCGGCGTCGTCGTCTTCGTCAACTTCGGCGTCGCCGCCGGTCGCCACAGGTCAGCGTCCGTCTGTCCGTCCATGCGTTCGTCCGTCGTCGTCGTCGTCCTCATCGTCGTCGTTGTCGTCGTCGTCGTCGCCGCTACCGCCGCCGTCGTCGTCATCGTGTCGCTATCATCTTCGTCGTCGGTGCCACCACCGTCACCACCGTCGTTGTCGTCGTCGTCGTGGTTGTCCTCGTCGTCGTCGCCGCCGCCGCCGTCGTCGGCGGTCGTCGGCATCGTCGTCGTCGCAGTCGTCGTCGCCGTCGCCGTTGCTGTCGCCGTCGCCGCCGCCTTCGCCGTCGGCGTCGTCGTCGTCGCCGTCGTCGCCGTCGTCGTCGTCGCCGCCGTGGCCGCCGCCGCCGACGTCGTGGTGGTGGTGGTCGTCGTCGTCGTGTTGGTGGTCGTCGTCTTCGTCGGCGTCGTCGTCGTCTTCGTCAATGTCTTTCGTCGTCGCCGCCGCTGCCGCCGCCGTCGTCGTCGTCGTCGTCGCCGCCTCCGCCGTCGTCGTCGGCATCGTCGTCGTCGTCCCTGGCGCCGCCGCCGCTACCGCCGCCGCCGCCGCCGTCGTCATCGTCGTCGTCGTCGTCGTCGTTGTCGTCGTCGTCTTCGCCGTCATCGACTTCGTCGTCGACGCCACCGACGTCGCCGTTTGCGTCGTCGTCGTCGTTGTCGTCGTCGTCGTCGCCGTCGCCGTCGCCGTCGACGTCACCGTCGCCATCGTCGCCGTCGTCGTCGTACCCGTCGTCACCGCGGCCACCGCCGCCGTCGTCGTCGTCGTCGTCGTCGTCACCGCCGCCTCCGTCGCCGTCGTCGTCTTCGTCGTCGTCGTCGTCGCCGCTGCCACCGCCGCCGCCGTCGTGGTCGTCGTCGTCGTCGTCGTCGGCGTCGTCATCTTCGTCGCCGTCGTCGTAGTCGTCGTCGTCGTCGTCGTCGCCTCCGGCGCAGCCACTGCCGACACCGCCGCCGTCGTCTTCGTCGTCGTAGTCGTTGTCGCCGTCGTACACGTCGTCGTCTTCGTCGTCGACGCCACCAACGTCGCCGCCACCGCTGTCGTCGTCGTCGTCGCCGTCGCCGTCGCAGCCGTCATCGTCGTCGCCAGCGCCGTCGCCGTCGCCGTCGTCGTCATCGTCGTCGTCGTCGTCGCAGCCGGCGTCGTCGTCGTCGCCGCCGCCGCCGTCGCGGTCGACGTCGTAATCGTCGTCGTCGGCGTCGTCGCCGTCGTCAACGTCATCGTCGTCGTCGTCGTCGTCGGTGCACCCGAGGCAAGCGTTGTCGTCGTCGCCGCCGCCGTCGCCGTCGTCGTCGTCTTCGTCGTCGTCGTCGCCGCCGTCGCTGCCACCTGTCGCCGTTGTCGTCGCCGTCGTGGTCGTCGTGGTCGTCGTGGTCGACGGCGACATCGTCGCCGTCGCCGACGCCACCATCGTCTTCGTCGTCACGTCGTCGTCGTCCTCCTCGTCGTCGGTGGTCTTCGGCGGTCGTCGAAATCGGTCGTCGTCGTCGTTGTCTCCTTCGCTGTCATCGTTTTCGTCGCCGCCATAGTCGTCGTCGTCGTCGTCGTTGTCGCCGCCGCTTTTTCGTCGTCGTCGCTGATACCGCCGTCGTCGTCGGCAGTCGTCGTCGTGATCGTTGTCGTCGTCGTCGTCTTCGTCGTCGCCGCCGTCGTCGTCGTCGCCGTCGTTGTCGTCGTTTCCGTCGTCGTCACCGTCGTCGTCGTCGTCGCCGCCGCCGCCGCCGCCGTCGTCGTCGTCGTCGTCATCGTCGTCGTCGTCGCCGTCGTCGTCGTCATCGTCGGCGTCGCCGGCGTCTTCGTCAGCGTCGTCGTCGTCATCGTTGCCGCCGCCACCGCCGTCGTCGCCGTCGTCGTTGTCATCGTTGTCGTCGTCGTCGCCGCCGCGGCCGCCGCCAAGGTCGAGTCGTCGTCGTCGTCGTCGTCGTTGGCGTCGTCGTCGTCATCGTCGTCGTCGTGGTCATCGTCGTCCTCGTTGTCGTCGGTCGTCGTCGTCGGTCGTCGTCGGCGGTCGTCGTCATCCGTCGTCGTCGTCGTCGTCGTCGTCATCATCGCTAACCACTACCACCACCACCACGATCATCATCATCAGCAGCATCAGCATCAGCATCATCCTGATTACCATCATCATCGCCAGCATCATCGCTAGCATAATCATCATCATAATCGTTCTCATCATCATCGTCATCATGATCGTCATTGTGCTCGTCATTGCCATCGCCACCATCATCACCACCACCATCATCATCATTATCACTTCCATCGTCATCGTCATCGCCATCGTCATCGTCGTTATCATCATGAGCAGCATCGTTATTACCATGAGCGTCATCAGCATCATCGTCATTATCATTACCACCATCATCATCATCCTCATCAGCATAATCATCATCACCGTCACCATCATCATCATCATCATCATCATCATCATCATCATCAGCATCATCATCATCATCACCACCATCATCATCATAATCATCGTCATCATCACCATCATCATCATCATCATCATCATCATCATCATCATCATCATCATCATCATCATCATCATCATCATCATCATCATCATCACCATCAATCTCATCTTCATAATATGGGGGCCGTGATGGTGCACCACTCTTCTTCCCGGCACAGTTGGGCTCCGAAACAGGAGGTCGAATTATAAACCCACCGTCAATAGGAGACATGTTAAGACCCTTCCCCAGCTCCGCTGCCCAGGAAGGGCGTTTAAAAGATTACCCTAATTCCCACCAGCCCTCTGGGCGTCGGTGGTTTAGGGAGTTTCCTCTTCCACCCCTCCTTCTTCCCCTTCGGGGAGGGGTTTACCCCTCCCCCTACCCCCTCCCCTGGACCTGGAGGGGGGGGGGCCGCGAGGTGTCAGAGCGTCCAAAACGACCTCGGCGAGGAAGCCAAAATCATTGATTTTACTACGGTTTTGGCCCCATGTTGGCCTCCTGGGGGGGGGGGGGCAAGCCTAATTAATGCTCCCCTCTTCTTTGATAGATCTCCTCCAAGATGGCCCCAAGAAGCGCCCAGGAGGCCCCAAGAGTTTGTAAGATGGTCCCAAGATGGCCCCAAGAGGTCCCCAAGAGGTCCCACGGAGGCCCCCAAGAGACCCCCAAGAGGCCCCAAGAGACCCCCCAGAGGCACTTCATTAAGATGCTCCAAGAGGCCCCGGCGAGAATGCCAAAACGGCCTTTGCGAGGAAGCCAAAATCAGTGGTTGTACTAAGGTTTTGGCCCCATGTTGGTTGGCCTCCTGGGGGGGGGACGCTGATTATTGCTCCCCTCTTGTTTGATCGATCTCCTTCAAGATGGCCCCAAGAAGCGCCAAGGAGGTCCCAAGAGGTCCCAGGATGGCCCCAAGATGGCCCCAAGAGGCCCCCAAGAGGCCCCCAGGAGGCCCCAAGAGACCCCCAAGAGGCCCCAAGAGACCCCCCAGAGGCACCCAAGATGCTCCAAGAGGCCCCGGCGAGAATGCCAAAACGGCCTTTGCGAGGAAGCCAAAAACATTGGTTTTACTAAGGTTTGGGCCCCATGTTGGCTTCCTGGGGGGGGACGCTAATTAATACTCCCCTCT